GGGGTGGAGGGGGATATAGGAGAATGAGTATGTAAATATACAAGAGAGAGAGAGAAGTAGCTAGAAATCAGCAAAAGCAAAATGTAGCGGACTGATATGCATGGTTGGTATGAAATCCTAATAATGTCTTTTTCAGAATAATTTCTAAAGGTAGTGAAGAATGCTTTAGTAAAGGGAAACACTGAAAAGGCAATATCATACTCATACTTAGGAATGAAGTAATTTACTTTACGACAAAAAGAGAAACAGATTGTTGTGGGAGAAAAAAAAAAGAAAGAGATAGAGAGGACATTTAGAGACCAGCTGGTTAAAGTTGAGCATTTTCATGTTACGTAATTGTAGGAGCACTAATAATAATACTCACACGTTGCCAAGAACTCATGACAAAAGGTAATGAACATACATGTACAAACAATCCAGTAGTTACGTTGGTGAATCTTCCACAGTGTTTAATTCTGATATTTGATCATCTCTGCCCAACTAGAAAGGAATGTTGTTCCCAAAAAATTGAATTAACAAATAAACATGCAAAAGAATATTTTAATTAAAGTGCTCTACAAGTAATGTAAGTTTTTATCAGTTTGAACTATGTGATTTCTCAATATAAGATCAACAACTTTAACAACAAGGCAATTTGGAACATAGAAAACTTAAGTAATTAAAACCCTACTGAAGTTTCTTTTCCCCCCATAATGGAACAGAAGCATGGATTATTCATAGATGTATATATTGCAGGTATTGGAGGTAAAATCACCTAATTGAGTTCAGTGCTAGAATTTGCTATTGGCGATAAAAAAAATTAAATGAATCAAGTTGTGTGTAACTTGAAAATATATAATTATAATGGAAAAGGAACAATAAATTAAAATCATTTCATACATAAGTGTTGAAAATATATGATTAAGTAAATAAATTATACTCCATCAGAAGTTTAAAGTTTTAAATGAGTTGACCGCATAATTCAACGAATAATAGAATAAAGGGCAGCCCAGTGCACTAAGCCCCGCGGGAAGGGTCTATCATACGCAGCTTTACTCTGCATTTCTGCAAGAGGTTGTTTCCTCGGCTCAGACTCGTGACCTTCTGATCACATGATAATAACTTTACCAGTTACGCCAAGGGTTCCCTTCAAAAAGAATAATATAATATTTTAATAATTTAGCTTTATGTTGTATGTAACAAAGCAAATTAATTCACTCTGGTATGAATGAGGGGGAAAAGTAACTAACTAAAAATGAAATGACAATAAAGGAATAATAAGAATTAAAGTCCCCTCATTATTAGGGTTAAAAAGGGAGAAACCCACCACAGGACATATCCATTCAGAATTCCACTCACAAGGGTTTGAAAATAGATTGAATACTCTATCTATCCTTGGTTGAAATCCGGACAAAAGTTCAGGTCCAATATAACGTAACACACATAAAGTTGTCAAGTGTAGTCAAAACAAACACATATCCCCCTTATCTTTTTCTTTTCCATCATCTGGAAAAGTAAATTAAAGCTACCTAAACCATTAAAGCCAACACACAAACAACTCAACAAAAACATCCTTTCTTTCTTCCACTAAAGACAGCTGCAGACAAATTAAAAGCAGGTGAAATTTTCTCCATCTTGAGGACATCAGCTGCTTTTTCCTCTGAACCTTTTTAGTTTTTTTTCGGATTTATGGAGACTACTCAATGGACTCAGGTGGGTACAAATTATTCATCTGCACCACTTAATTAATTACTCCTATTTGCTTAAGAAAAATGTTGATTTCATTTATCCTCCTTTTATTTTTCAAATTAAAGTGGTCGTTCTCTTTACACATCAAAGCAGTAGGCACTTTTTCTTTCTGCCTCTTTCCACATGATAGCATATGGAAAAAGGTGTTCTTCGTTATTATTGTTGTTCACTTTTTACTTTCCTTCAATTTAATTTTAAAAGTTGAAAGTTATCCGGTGTTTGTCATTCAGTACTTTGTCATCGTTTAGCTAACATAAATAATCTTGCTATCTTTTTTCTTTGGTTCCCTTTTTTGGTGTTTGTTAATTTTCAGGATATTGGGATAGTGAAATCCATGGCAGCAGAAATAGCTGCTCCTAATGTTACGGTGGAAAAGAAAGTGAGGCCAGTTAAGGATCAAGCAATAAATTGTCCAAGATGTAATTCAACAAATACAAAGTTTTGTTACTACAACAACTACAGTTTGACTCAACCAAGATACTTTTGCAAGACTTGTAGAAGGTATTGGACTGAAGGTGGAACTCTGAGGAATGTTCCAGTTGGAGGTGGTTCAAGAAAAAACAACAAAAGGTCATCCTCCTCCTCTTCTTCTTCTTTATCGCAAAAGCTTCCCGATCTGAACCCTAATCCGAGTTTTTCTCCCCAAAACCCTAATAATAAGATTATTGCTGGAAATAGCTGCCAAGATCTTAACCCCGGGTTCCAAACTGTGTCACACGATCATCATCAGTTCCATGGTGTGCCTCAGTTTCTTGAATTACCAAAGATGGATAGCAGCAATAATGGTAACAATCATCTAGGTACTCATCTCTTTTTGTTGAAAACTATGATCATCTCTTCTAAAAGATTAAACTGTTAGAGGACACACTTTTATTTATTTAATTATATTTTTAACAAGCACCTTCACATGCGGACCTTAATTAATCTTTTTGGTGAGCCAAAAATGTACAAGTCTTTTTAATAATGGGACCTCCGTATGCTCTGATACCATATTCACGAAGTTTATCACATCTCATCTAAGAATTTAAATTGTTAAAAAGAATATACTTTTATTTACTTAATTATATCTCTAACGACCTTCATATCGTCATGTATTCAACTTCAGGTAGTACACCAATATCAGCTTTGGAGCTGCTTAGGAGTGGAATAGCCTCAAGAGGGTTTACTTCATTCATCTCGTCGCCAGCACCACCAGATTTGAATACTTTATACACATTAGGGTTTCCATTTCAAGAATTAAAGCCTAGTGCTGGTAGTAATGATCATGCAGCAGCTGCCTTAAGTTATTCAAGTGGGGTTCAAGAAAATGGAGGTGCAAGAATAATGTTCCCTCTAGGAGCTGATCATCATCATCAGAGTAAGGGACAGGAGAATTCAACTGCTGGATTTTGGAATGGAATGTTAGGTGGAGGATCCTGGTAAAGTATTAAGGGAAAGCTAATGTGCAGAAATCTCACTTTTAAATGTTTTTCTTTTTCTTTTTTGGGGGTGTCTTTGTTCTTTCTTTTCACATGCTTTTGTTACTATAATTTGTTTGGTGATGTTTAGAACTAAGTACTAACATAGAAGACATCTAGTTCTGGTGCTATTTTTCTTAATTTGCTCTACGATTACTTTGAGATTAGGGAAGCTAGCTTGATTAAAGTCAGCTTCTAGGGTTTCTGTACTAGTACTACTATATATGATCATAATTAACCATCTTAATCACCGCCTATTTTTTAGCTATATTGTGTTTTAGATGAACTTTGCCAACAAGGACCTTTTCTTTTTGTTGTTTACTTTTATTTCTTCTGTTTTCTTTTACCCTAATTAATTGTGCAAAGAGATTAATATTGTTTAATTATAACAGATATAGCTTATTGCTGGAAGTAGATTATGACATGGCCTGGTCTTTTTCCTTTTTATTATCCAGTTCTTGATAATCACTTTAGAACTTCATTGAAAATTCAACTGAAAATTTTGGCGAAGAAAAGCAAAATAGGTGGAAACAGAAACAAGAAACTGATATATTCTTGTGTGAATAATTTGGTTAATCATGTTTATGCTTCATGAAGATTGACATTGAGATCTTCATTACACGATTAATGCAACTTAACCATTGTAATTGACTTTTAATGATCCACTTAATAGTGTCAAAAAATCTTATCACATATATATATATATATATACACGAAAGCTAAAACTCTATGTATGGAGTTTGTTAATTTTCCCAATGGATCGGAGCAATCATATTTTTCTATTTTTTGGCGATTGGAGTACAAAATATCATTTGTTCCTGCTGTTATGATAATGGCATGCTATTATGAGTAAAATTTTACATACTAACGTTTTAAACAATTTACACTAAATATCAAGGAGGTTTAATTATCGGTTCTGACATATTATAGCTTACCTTATGTTCTAGGTTATCAATATATATATATATATATATATATATATATATATATATATATAGGCACTTCAAAAAGTTGGATGCATGTAATGGGTGGTGTCATGTCCTGCAGAATACATTAGGAGCCTTTTTCTTTTCTTTTAAACAAACTTTAGTAGGGGTGAGACGTAAATATATAGGAGAAAGGCGGACGAAGTGAAAAGTTCTATGGTAAGATTTGAATCGTACACCAGTATATATAGGGTGCTAATATGGGTGTATATGGACCGGGTTGGTTCGATTTTTATCAAAATCAAACCAAAGTAACTATATCGGTTTGGATTGGTTCGGGTTTATCGGGTTTTTTGTTACTTAAATATTATTTCAATCTTACTTTGTTAAATTTTTTAAGTAAATATATGTTTAGTAAAAATTTAAAAAATTACAAACACATTATCTATTAAAATATTGTTATGGGAAAATTTTAATTTTCTTAGTAACACATGATAGTTACTTTTTTAGTCGTCTCACAATTATTTTTCGTTGATGTACACTTTCAAGGTTAACCGAATTTAGTAATTAAACATAAAAATCAATATGATACCTAAATAATAATTACCACTTCAAATTCAAAAAAGATAGAAGAATTTTATTATTATCTTGACATATGAATATGGAAGAACAAAGAGATTGATAAAGTGATCATTCAACCCATTATTTAAGGTTAATAAATATGGAGCACTTCATATTCTATTAAATATTATATCACATAAGAGAATCCCAAATATTTTTAGATATTTTTTAAAGAAAATTTTATATAACATCTTAGAAGTATATATATAAAAATTATATATTTATATGTCGGTTTGGTTTGAGTTTTTTAACTCAATACCAAACCAAATCAAACCAAATCTAGTCGGGTTTTTTAATTAGTTTGGTTTGACTCTTCGGTTTGGTGCTGTTTTCCAGTTTGGTTTGTACACACCTAGTGCTAGCTGAGAGTGTATATGGACCGGGTTGATTCGATTTTTATCAAAATGAAACCAAACCAATTGTATCAGTTTGGATTGGTTCGGTCTTGTCGGTTTTTTCGGGTTTTTTTATTACATGAATATTATTTTAATCTTACTTCGTTAAAGTTATAGATAAAATTTTGATAAGTGAATATATGTTTAGTAAAAATTTAAAAAACTCACAAACATATGATCTATTAAAATATTCTTGAGGGAGAATTTTTTTAGTAACACATGATAATTATTTTCTTAGTCGTTAACAATAATTTTTTGTTGATGTACGCTTTCAAGGTTAACCGAATTTATTAATTAAGCATAAAATCAATATGAAATCTAAAGAATGAGGTTTTTATATTTAATTTTAAAATTATCGAACTACCATTTCAAATTCGAAAAAAATATAAGAATTTAACAAATTTTGACATATAAATATGTAATAACAAATAGATTAACGCGTTTCAATAACACTTGATAAGAAAGTGATAATACAACTCATTATTTAACGTAAATAAATATGGATGCACATCATAGTTCTATTACATATTACATCCCATGAGATAATCTCAAATATTTTTAGACATTATCTAAAAAAAAATTGTATATAAAATATTAAAAGTATATATAAAAATTATATATTTATATGTCGGATTGGTTTAAGTTTTTTTACTCAATACCAAACCAAATCAAACCAAACTTAATGAGATTTTTTAGTCTTTTTAATTTGACTTTTTGGTTTGATGCGATTTTCCGGTTCGATTTGAACATCCCTAATGCTACCTAGCGACGTTGCAATATTAAGTTACAACTCTAACTTGCAAGGATATGTAAAGGGCGACACCTTACTAATAGTAGTTTGAAACAATACAAGTAGATTGACTATTATTGAAAGAAAATGAAAACAATTGAAGTGCTTTAGTCTAACAATGAAATAATAATAATAATAATAATAGTATTTAACAACGTCACTAAGCAAATTGTAATTTTCAAACAAAAAGGAACCTACCTGCTGCCACAACCAATACCTAATCCTTTTTCTTTTAATTAATTACCTTTTCTTTCAGTTCCTAACATTCCCGACTATTGTAGGAGCGACCGTTTAAAAATGATTTAATTATACACATTGATAGTATGCAAAATTTTATAGTATTAGTGCAAAATTAATTAACCGATTACGACATACTACGTTTTTTAGGTTATTATTTCAAGCCAAAAAAATTTATTATATCACGCTTACGAAATAAATTACTTATAGCTTGTCTTTTACATAAGCTGATAGTGGGAAAAAAAAATTACACTGTTAATATGTAAGAATTTAAATTGATTATGAAATATTTCAAGATAGAATGAACTTCCATCCCTTTAGTTTGGGTTGAGATATAGCTCCGTTTCCGTTGTATTATTTTAGGCTAACCCATTTTATTTTATGTGACGCATTCAACTGTTGGAATTTATGTGACCAATTCAACAATTCAACAGACCAACATCAGGTAAGTCTTCCATAGTTTTTTCTAAAACATAATTTGAAGATCTAAAAATGACATACTACACCTAATGCATCGTATTTATTATTTCATAAGTATCAACATAAGAATTAAACTCCTGAATAGCGAGTTCTGCAGAATAAATAACTGGAAATAATCCTACCTATGATTAAGTAGATGACAAGTAGATGATGGGCTACCTGAAGATGGCGCCGCAGCGTCAGAAGATGGCAGACGTATTTCATTCAAGCCACTGGGAAGTAACTTCATATATAGTGTTGGAGTTCATTTTCAAATGCTGCATTTATACAAGAGTAAAGAAATGAACATGATTCTTGTTCTGAAGTGAGAGCAATTGTCATGGGGTCAAAATGTCATTAGTTTCCCACCACAAGCTCAAAAAAGATATTAAAATGGTAGTAAATCAAACATTATAGTAGCATGGATTGAACTACTTATAGCATCCTCATATAACATTACAAGGTAAAATTACACTGTACAGAAAACTTGTTACATTTATTGCTTCAGTATATCTAGAGAAGCACCTGTGAAAAACATCAGCACTAAAGAAGCAAAGTACTCTTTCCTGTCCTGACTTCTATACAGAGACGAGCTTTACGCAGAACAGCAGGAGGATGAGAAAGCTTAGATCTTGGAAAACAACAAACTGAAAATAAAAAAGAACCATTCATGGATCCTCATTAATTCCGAAGATTCGGACCTTGTGCATATTGGGGAACTTGGCAATAACCAGCACCATCACAGCAATGGTATTGAAGAAGAGCATTGGATGTTGGTAATCAGTTGTATGTGAGGCTATCAAATACCTGCCAGTACAAGAAGTTGGCTAAGAAATCTCAGAAGTAAAATGTCATCTATACGTTAGGGGACGAAAAGAAAAGGGAAGTAAGAACTACAGTGAATTGCAGAAGGCATCCCCCAAATTCTCACTTAATGTTAGCAATCTGCTGAAATACCAAATACCAAAATTTTGGGCTAAAATCATCTTGTGCGTGGCATGTAGGTTTCTTAGATGGGAAAAAAAGTAACTATAACATCTTCTTTTGCTTATACATACACAAAAATTGCTTTAGTTCAAACTACGTTTCTCTACTGCTATATGCTTGGCATGCTATATTGCATACCCATGGAGTCGGCACCTCGTTTTCCACATGCCACAGATGCATGGCAACGGTAAATCTCAAATATCAGGACCAATATAGAAATAATATACACACAAACTCACACATATACAGATATTGATAAGGAGAAAAAATTTCCGTTATACATAACATATTTGAGAAAATGCAATAGTAAAAAAAATTAACCACTAAGAAACAGCAAAAGTTGATAAATTCCTCTACCCTTAAAACAAAAGGCATATGAACCATTGAAATAGTTAGATTATAACAGTAATAACTAATCAATGTTACCATACTAGGAAAAAATGTGATATATCTATCTACAAAGCATTCTGATATCAAGAGGGGTTGTAAAACCTTTTTTTTTTTTATTGTTAAGAGGGGTTGTAGAACTATTTGATCGCTCATTCTGCGGGTTTTTCATTGCAATAATCTAAAAGAATTAATACGTAAATCTGAGTTTATCAAGAGAGATATGTTTCAATGCTTTCTTCTTCTCCTTTTCTAGTCTTTTTTTCTCTGTTTCTAAACTTGATTTCTCAAAAAAAGTAGAGCCCTTTGTTTGAGACTCAAATTGAGTTACTTTTCTTCTCTAATCTTAGTTTCTTTTCCCACATCTTTACAAAATATGGTGTATGTGCCAACTTATGTGCACCTTGACTAAATCCACCGGGTACCTGCTACCTCCCACCGGGTCAAATACCTGGTAACTATGTC